CAGCTAATAGTCCGGATTTAAATCCTATTGAGCAGCTCTGGGATGAACTGGAAAGACGTTTGAAGGATCATCAACCCCTCCAAAATCTTAACCAAGTTGCAGATGCTCTTTTGACGATTTATGAGCAGTTACCACAACAAATAATTAGAAATTTGGTGGAAAGCATGCCTCGTCGTTGTGCCGAACTTCTTAGAGCCAGGGGGTGGACGTACTCACTATTAATGTACATTTTTCTCAATTTTTTTCTGAAATAAATTGTATTTGTTTTTGACACCCATTTGTATTTCTTTTTAATTGTATTACCAAACAGGAGCGCTGTTGCCACCTTAGCATCTTTGAGTATGGGATTCCAAATCCGGTTAAGCGTTATTGCCTCCTCTTTTCTGTTGTAGTTCTCCATATATTTATGGATTTCTATGGCTTCCTCTGCAAGATGACTGAGGTATCCATGATCGGGAGCAAGTAGTTTCACATCTTTGTACCACGGATCTTTTGGTGGTAGCTATATAAACTTTTCGGCAGGTCCATGGTATACGATATACCCCGGTAGCTGAGAATGGATCTCTTTTGTCTTCCGCAGATCTAAGCCTTTCTTGTGGGTGGGCTTGAACACTGTTTTTTCCGATTCTGGGAAGGAAACTCAAATGGTTACACGTGCATTTCTACCGTACATCCCCAGAGTTACAAACAAAATCGGAAAAATCTCAGGAAAGCATAAAATAAAAACAGCTCATGTCACATTGGATATTCTGCACGAGCGATTTGGGGGCATGGGTGATGTGTACTGGCCAAATCGTCCGATTTGACCCAGTTAGACTTTTTCTTATTGTGTTTTTCAAAGTCGCAGGTGAATGCGAATAAACCACTCACCACTCCTTTTTTTTCAGCAATAAAGAAACGTTCCTCCATCTTCTCAAAGGTAGCCTAGGAACTGGAATCCTTGCCATGCCTTTGGCTTTCTACCATTCGGGATACGTTCTTGGTGTAGTGGCTACTGCCTTGATAGGCTCCTTATGCATGTACTGTGTACATATGCTCATAAATTGCGAGTATGAATTATGTAAAAGAAGAAAAGTTCCCAGTATGACTTACCCAACTACAGCGGAATGTGCATTTCAAGACGGGCCTCCAATTTTTCAAAGAATAGCTCCATATTCACAGTAAGTACACAACAATTTGGGCAATTTTGGACTGATTTTATTATTTTATACAGTGTGACCCATTTTTAATGGAAACACCCCCCTAAAATTTGAAGTTGTAAATCGATTTTAATAATTTTTTTTAAATGTCAAGTACTGAAAGGTCTACCTTGGGACAGTCGTCCATTCAC